ATGAGGTTGAGGGGCTCACGCAGCAGTTCGTTAGTCGTTATCCCATTCATGTTTCTTCGCTTCCAAGCGCATTGCGCCTACCAACGGGCACACAAACAAACACACAAGTACACCCAGAACGAAAAGATGCGAATCGTATTTCTACTTTTTTGCACCGACAGCAGCGGTGCCGCCGCGACCGTTGGTGCTGCTCTTCTCCTTGTCCTCCTTTAGCGTTAGCACTCTGTTCATCACGACGTGGCCAGCACGCGTGTCGGGGTCGATGACAAAGTAGCCAAAGCGCTCCGCCTGCACTGACTCGAATACGGTTGCGTTTGCGACGGCGGGCTCCGCGTAGCCCTGCTGAATGTGTTCACTGTCGGCGTCGATGTACTTCAGGAACTCTGGGTCGATGGCGGCGCGCTCATCCTTGAGGAGACAACCGTACAGGCGGAACTCCACCGGAATCACGGTGACCGCACTGACCCAGCTGATGTTCGTCTTGGGCTTAGTTGTGCGATCAAAGTCTACCTCGACGTGAATGAGTGATGGGCGTCCTGTCTCGTCGCACTCGTAGCTGCGGCAGACTATGTTGCCGCTGTACTTCAGACCAACCGCACGGGGTCCCGGCGCCAGACCGTAGAACTTGCTGTTGTTATCCTCCGTGTGAAAGTCGCTGCGGTCAATGTAGAACGTTTTGGTAAACAAGACCTTGCGTGACCCCAGCTCTGGCTTACGTGGGTGATTTGGACACTCGATCTCCTTTTCGCCGTCCCAGTTGTCAATGACGACTTTAATGGGGTCCACAATCATGAGACGACGTTCGGTGCGCTCATCAAGGTCTTCGCGGAGGACATGCTCGAGCATGGAGATCTGAATAACATTCATCGACCGCGTAATACCCACCAAGTCACAGAAACGGTTAATGGCCTGTGGGGTGTAGCCACGCCGCCGCATACCTGCCAGCGTCAACAAGCGTGGGTCGTCAAAGCCGCGGACGATTCCCTTCTTCACCAACACGTTGATCTTCCGCTTTGAGAGCAATGACCCTGTAACGTTGAGACGGCTAAACTCCCACACATGTGGTCGCCATTGGTGGAGTTGCTCGAGCAACCAGAAGTAACTCTCTCGCCGCGTCTCGAACTCCAATGTGCACAGGCTGTAGTCAATGTTTTCCAGGCTATCTATAAGGCAGTGCGTGTAGTCGTAGCTGGGGTACACACACCACTTGTCCTTAGCGTGGGGGTGCGCGGAGAACTTGACGCGGTACGCAATGAAGTCTCGCATATTCGGGTTGTCGCTCTTCATATCAATCTTTACCCGCAGCGTGGCCTCACCCTCAGCGTACCGGCCCTGCCGCATGTACTCGAAGTGCAAGAGGCTCTCCTCAATGGGGCGGTTACGCCACGGGCTATCCTCGCGGTTCTCGCGCTGCTTCTTGATCTCATCGGCCGTGCAGTGGTCAACATACGCCTTGCCGTCCTTAATCAGCTGGATCGCAAAGTCGTAGAGTTGCTGAAAGTAGTCGGAGGAAAAGGTGATCCAGTCCGGTTCCCACCCCATCCACCGCACCATCTCTGCAATGGCGTCGATGTACACCTGCTCCTCCGTCTCGGGGTTGGTGTCGTCGTAGCGCAAATAGCACTTGCCATTGTGCGCCACGGCGCAGCCAAAGTTCAGGTTCATGCTCTTCGCGTGGCCAATGTGCAGAAAGCCGTTGGGCTCTGGCGGGAAGCGGAAGTACGGCTTCCCCTCTGTGGCGGCATTGTGCTTCTCCAAGAGATCCGGCGTATTGCTGTAACCCTGCACTGGACGGCCCGTCTGCAGCAGCCTCAAGTCCTTCTTCACCTCAAGCGCAGGCTCAGCAGCAGCGGCGGTGGCGGCGGCACCAGCAGCATTCGACATATTCCTCAATAAGAGCGATGAAAAACGGCGAAACGTCCTTAGACTGAAAGTACCTCGTGTGATTTAGCTCCTTTTCTTGTTGTCTGTTTAAGTCTGCGTTTGCAATATACAGCGAGATGGGGGTTACCGAAAGGGTTAAAAAAGTGGGGAAAGGTGAGAGTACGAAAACAAAAAAGGGAAAGAAAAATATCTAACCAAACCTTCTCAGATGGCATGATACCGCTTGGTCCAAGGGGTGACCACCAACCACACAAATCGAAGGAAACCTTTCCGTATGTTCTTTTCTTCTTCAGAGAGAGAGAGCGAGCGAGGGAGCAGATGTTGCCCTTAAGGAGAAAAAAAAAGGCTCCAGGCTCACAACAACGCCGGCCCGAATGCGTAGAGACACTAAAATGGGGGGAAAATGCGCGGGACGCTGCTGAACGGACATGCCCTCTTTTCGCTTCTACCAAATACGTTGTAGATGTGTTTACGGGTGTGATTTTAAGCACACCAGGATCCTTTTTCTATGACATTTATGAAATTCTCTGCGTTCAGGTCTGCCTAATTATGTTTGCACACATACTTGTGTGTGCATTTCGGCACGCACATGCACAGCAGCAACAACATCATCATCAGCATCATCATCACTCCACCTCGTCCACCTTGGGAGCAAGGTAGTAGCGCAGGTATCCCACCTGGTCAATGCTGTACTCCACCATACACGGGCTGTCCTTCGCGAACTTGAGCGACACGCGGTCGCTCAGGGTGGCTCCCTTTGCGAAAATGTTCATGAAGCGCAGGGCGAAGGAGAGCGTGACCGGTTCATCCATTCGCACCTCCACGCCGATCGCTGGTTGCCCGTCCTTTACCTTCGAAGGGTGACCGCTGCGGTTAATAGGCGCGTCGTCGTCCTCCTCTGCTTTCACTTCCGCCTTCACCTCCATTTCAGCTTTCGTGCGACGGTCCGTCACGGCAGCGGCGCGAAGGAACGCATAACCTTCGCCCACGTCACCAGCGGAACTGAACTTCACACCCTCCTTCCGTATCTCAATGGTGACAGTGTCGCCAAAGACAGTCATGTCACGAACAATCTTTGCGAACTCCTGCGAGCTGAGTGTCACGGTTGACCTGTAGTCCATCTCAGGAATGCCCATCGCCTCCGCCTCAATTTCCAGTAGCTTTAGCTGGTACTCGCACTTGCGAGATTTTTCGACATTTTCAGATGTTAACGTGACTACATCGCTGTCGTCTTCGTGGCGCATCGTCAAGCTGTCAGTCGCCTCAACAATCTTTAGCACCTTCGCCAACGAAGCAAGGTTGAGTCCCAAAACACTGTTACGCTCGCATTGGTACTTTGTGAAACAGTCATCACGGAGGAGCATATGCACGAGGGCAACGTGGCTGGTATCCATGGCTTGAATGGAGAGACCACCAGGGTTACAGTCAAAGTTTGCCTCATTGACGAGCCCGTTTATGCACTCAATGAGTCGCTTCCATAGATTGGCTTGCTGAACCTGAGCCTCGAGCATGATGGCGCGAATTCTTATTTATCGTCCTACCCTGTTGTTAGCTGCGGAATTAGAGAAAACACAGAAACAGAATAACGAGGAGAACGGTGAAAAGTGTGCGGCATGCGGAAAAGGAACACCCCCCTACCACCACCACAGACGCGCGAAAAAAAAAAAGAAAGTGAAGCAACACCCTTAGCGAAGGTCCCTGGAAAAACAAAAATGACGGAGAGTGCACAAACACACCCACGTAAACGCACTCTGCTACTACTCCTACACAACCGTCAGTCCACCTGCATCCTCGCGCACCAGCAGGGGGCAAACACGCATGGCCGAGTATCCTTCCCAGAACGCCTCGACGACCGCACACGTGGCGTCACCCAACACAAGTGCAAACACAGCGTCGTAGCCGCCAGCACCAGGGCATCCCACTGCGAAAACGCCTGGAAGGGCGAGGGTGGAATCAAGCAAGACACCTAACTCTTTCGGCTCAATCTCCACATTGGCAGCCTGCCCCATCTCACGAAGGTAGCGCCGGCTCATTGCAGCGCAGGCCGACGCCTCGACCCAAAGTCGTTCCGCATCGTTCTTGGGAGTATGCTGCGCGAGCACGACATGCTTCAGAGCATTCACCGCCTCCTGGTGAAGTGTTGCCTCCTTGCTAGACTTTTCAATCAGCGACCGCAGTGCCTCAACATATTTCTCGTTATTCTTCTGGAGTCGATGCCAAAGACTGTCTGGGTTGTCAGAGACAGACCTCCGCCACGCCATGACCTTGGACACCATTCCTGGTGTGCCCGAGCCGCCCTGATGCACGTCACCCAAAACAAGCTTCACCCCCGTAGGAAGCTGGAATGGCACACGCTCAACCCACACCTTGTCCAGATGAAAGCAGTCTGAGAGAGCAGTGACAGCAACACTCTTAGGGGACTCGTTCCCACCAATGACCTTCTCAATAAAATGAGCCGGAAAACGGCGGTAGGCGCATGTTCCGTACGTCGCGGTGTAGACATCAAACCCGCTACCGATTTTGCCCTGTGCCACGCTATGTGCAACTTGGGCGATGCGATGCACAGTCTCCACCTCCTCTGTTGCTGTTGCACTGGCGCTGTTGCTATTGCACAAGGAAAAGTACAAGCACGCCACTACACTTGTTGTCATGGCGGCAGAAGAGCCCAGTCCCGTCTTGGATACGCTGCCCACAAGATGCAAGTGAGATGGAAGAGCTCGCAGGTTAGCGACACTCACTTCTTTACCCTGCGCCTCCAAGTAGTTGCGTTGGCTGTAGAAATCATTGTCGGCAAGAAGCTCAAGTGTGAGAACACTGCGAATATTGCCGCCTTTCAATAGTGCTGCCGCCACGGCGTAGAGGACACTGTAGAAGAGGAATGGAGACGACGGCCCTTCCGTCTGCGTGACGGACACAGATGGCTCTGCAGTGTTGTCAACGGTGCACTCAAAGGTAAACTCTTTGCCGAACTGAGGCGAGAGAATGTGCACGTGACACCTCCCATCATCTGCTTCTTGCCGTGACGCCACACGCGTCTCAAAGCGGGCAGTTGTGCCAATGGAGATGCCGACGTTGGGCGCCTCGACAATGAGGTAACCGCCAAGTATGAGCACCTTGCCTGGGGAGGATGCTTTGACGATGGACATGAAATGTAAATTAGATCCGTGAATCTCTGCTGAGAACAAAATACACAAAAAAAATGGAGCGAGAGAGAGAGAGAGAGAGAACGATAAAAAAAAAAAAAGAACAAAGAAGAAATAAGGTCACAAAGACTTGACGTAAACGGCGTGCCAGTTCGTTGAAGAAGCAAACCAACATCACACCCACTTCACCGCTGTTGCCACTACCGTCTACCGACGCTCTCCGCTCATGCCTGGTTTGTCCTCCACTGGAGGAGCGACGCCAATCGCCTTGAGCAACTCCGGGTCAACGGCAATTTGACGCTTCTTGCGCCGCTGCACCGCCTCGGCTTTGGCGTCCTGTTCTGGTGGCGCCTCAATCTTTTCACCGTCGACCGTCACCACGCCAGCAGCAATATTGGCCTGGTGAAGACGCCACAGGTAGTATATGCTAAACAACGCACACGTTCCTGCACAGATAAAGAGCACGATGAAGAACACGTACCCACCTCGGCCTTGACAACACCACTCGGCACAGTTCGCAATGGAGTCATCCAGAAGTTTACACATACCCTTTGCTAAACATGGATCCCGAGCACACTCCTCGCGCAGAGAGCTATAGCCACTGCAACGAGCCACACATGCACTTGCCATCGGCAAGGTACAGCTGTGTCTTCTTCCTAATACGCGCACACAGACATACAGAATGGGAGAAGCAAAACTGGAAGAATCACAAAACTCCGAAATAAAGCGGCAGAGCAGCCGTAAGAAAACGTCTGTTGTAGGCATATACTTTAGCTTGTGAGGAACTTCTTTTTTAAAACGATTATTGGTGAAGAAAAGCATCAACGCACCTATGTACACACCTTACACTACAGATGTTTTTTTCTCACCTCTTCCTTTTTTTTTTTACCATTCGGCTTAACAATATTTCTTTTTCTTTATTTCTGGCGTGTGACGCTCCCTTGCCTTCTCTGAAAAAAAAAGACGTCGCACCCTACCCCGCGATCCGCTTACAGCAGCCGCTCAATCTCCAACTTCACGGCCTGAACCTTGGAAGAGATGGGGCTGTTCTCTGTCTGCAGAATCGCCAGAGCCACGGCATTACGCGAAACCTGTGCTGCCCGACCTAAAGCAGTTTTGGAAGGGACGAATACGTACGGCACGTTCTTGTCTTCGCACAACAATGGAAGGTGCAGAAGGATCTCGATGGGGTTTGTGTCGCCCGCCAGCACAATCAAATCAGCAATTCCTCGGTTAAGTGCTTTAGTGGCCTCATTTGCACCCTTCTTGATCATCTTCGCATTGCTGGCCTCCTGCACTAAGTCCAGGATGGTCTGCGTCAGACGGTCCCCGGCGAGAGGGAATGCCTTCTCACTGATTTCGGCTGTCATCGCGGGGTTCTTAGAAAATAATCTAGCAAAAAAAGGCGCACAAGGAAAGAAGGTAAAACACAGAGGTGAAACGGCAACTAGATACTTTTGTACCGTTTAAAAGACACCTAGAGGCAAGATTCATTTTGAAACAGCAGTTCCAGCTCCCAGAAAACCCCAGATACGTACATAAGATTAAAATAACGCCTACAAAACGGACAGCACAGCTGAATAGAAACCTTGGTATTCGCACAGCTCTTCTTATATATATATATATATTCCAAACAAACGAAGGAATACAGATTCTATTCGATGCTCTGACTTTCATTACATCATTTTTGTCCAGCAGACTCTGCCCGAGCCACCAGTGTTCGTTCCCATTGCGCGCGGTTGCTCGTTACACGATCCACTGTCCACTCCATGCCGCTGAGGCAAGCGTCCACAATCTTCTTGAAGAATGGACCGGCAACAAAGTCAATAAAGCCGATTTGGCCCTTCGCCAGCTCAGTATTCTTTGAGCGGTCAAACATTGGCAAGACTTCAACGCCCTTCTCCTTCTCCATATCGCCCTGCCGGTAGAATTCCTCAGTCACAGACATTGCCCACAGACGCGATATATCGAACGGTTTGGTCACGTTGGATACATCACCAGCCTTCATCAGAACATCCATTACCATTTGCCTTCGGCTGGCATCATTGACATCGTAAGGACGGTCCATTGATGCCAAAAAGAGGTTAAGCAACTCATTATGCCTTGCCATGTCAGTGGCAAGCACACAATCGATCATTGCACGGTAGGCAGAGGTACGCTCGGCATCATCAAGACCTTCAAAGACATCTGAGTCGGGATCAGAGAGAATTTCAACGGCAAGGTTGCAGTGGTGCACCTCCAGCACTGACGTGTTGCCACTCGCGCTTGACAAAATACCAAGGGGCGACTCTGTCTTGAGGTAGAAGCTGTTGTTCAGACCCATATGGTCGAGGTCGTGCACCAGTGCCGTCACCAGAAGCACAAAGCATTCCAATTCCGTCAGTTTCTCACAGGCCGCGCCCTTGTACAGGTAGGTGTAGATGGTCTGACATACATCAACAACGTGGTAGAAGTTATGGTACGGCACACTGCGGTACTTCTTGCGGCATTGCAGAATAAAATTCAGCAGCGTCACATCACGGCAACGGAACTTTTGCGGGAGACCTGTTCCCAACAAAAGTCGGTATGCGATCGCAGCGGCAGCATCAAGAGGCTGCTCCATTTCCTCACGCACCTTGAATAAGTCAAAGTCAGCATCTGTAATGTCCACGTGGTTTAGTTCAATACTCCGCACAGCATCTCTCTCCTTGTCTGTGATCGCAAGGAGGCGTTTTACATTGCGGAGAGAGTTCCGCCTTTCACCTGCAAATGCACGACGTTCGTTGAGCTCCATCATCTCACGACCAGCATTAACGGCGAACTCCAGCAGATGTGAGTTGTTGATGGAAATGCCAGCAAAAAGGGAGAACACACGGAACGTTTCGCGGTCGCTGGGCGTGAAAACAGTCACTTCCCCAGCCGGGTCCAGTTTATTCACAAGCTGCACCACAGCAAGGATCTCGCCATTCAGCACAATAGGCTCACATAACAGGGTCTGTGTGCGGTATCCAAGCTGCCTGTCAACATCACGGTTGAACCTGGGGTCTTGATACGCGTCGATGATGTTCACACCAACACCAGAGGAAGCCACAGTACCAGCAATTCCTTGCCCACACGCAAACCGGATCTCTTTGCCCGCCACGCTGTCTGCCAGTCGGCTGTACAGTTCGTTCCGCTCCTTGTCCAGAAGAAACAGTGCAGAGCGATCCGCATTCAGAAGCTTCTTTGCGCCATGCAGCACGTGGCGCACAATACCGTCCACATCACGGATGTCAGTATTCGACAATAGCGTCACAACGTCAAGAATGGCATCGCTCTTCTTCTTCTCGTTCACCAAACTCTCGTTGATACGACAGTTCCGCAATGAGGCACCAGCAAACATGGAGAAGGTCTGGAAAAGCTCCTCATCGCGCCTGCCGAAGGTGCGCGGTAACCTGAGGCCGCTCTCCGTCACCATGTCCAGCTTATTAATCAGCTGTGCAACAGCCACAATTGTTCCTTCGTACATAACAGGCATGCAAAGGATAGTCTTGGTGCGGTACCCCGTCGCCTTGTCAACGTCACGATTGAAACGATCATCTGCATAAACATCGGCAATGTTGACTGTTTCACCAGTCCGTGCAACAAAGCCGGCAATGCCGGCGCCCGCCGGAATCGTGACAACGTTGCCGTCTTCAAAGTGCGCCTCGAGTGTATCCTCCTTGACAAGAAATATACTGCACCGATCACTTTCAGTAAGCGCCTTGGCGGTATTCATGATCGAATTTGCGAGCACTGCTTCATCGAGATTGTCGCGGGCAAGCTGTGTCGCCATCATCAACATGGCCTCTGCCTTTTCCTTGTTCCAGTTAATCCTTTCGGCCTCTATGGCGTTGTGTACTGCACATGCTGCGAGCCGCAGCATTGTTTCCAAGAGAGGAGTACGGTTGTGTTCACAGCTTCCCTGTGAAACCTCAACGCATCCCACCACAGTGCCGTCATAGGTGAGTGGAATGTACAGCGTGCACGCAATCGTGCACTGCAAACCGGTAGTAACTGCTTTTCCAAGCGGTGTTGTCTCATCCACCGTTGCGGCTGTTGCATGCACCGGGTCAATCAAGAGGGCATCATTCGGTTCAAGGTAATATACGTGGCACCAGATGGAATCAAGACAGTATCCCAGCTCCTCATTCAAGCACTGAAAAACATCCTTCATAGGCCTTCCAATAAGTAATGAACGTTCCATCAGCGGTGACAGATCGTGCGGCGATTGTTCCTTGGGCGCCGCCACCGCACCAAGGGAGGCGATGGTTTCTGAAAGGATATCGTGCGGCGCCATCATCAAGAGGGAAGCAAGGGCCTTCTTTTCAGAAGCAGTAAGTGTTCGGTTGGTGCGCTTGTAGCGAGCCAATATTGATTCCCCAATGGCGAAGGCTTCGCAAAGATGGTTGGATTCCTGCAAGTTCTCATATCGATGGGGGACGGGACGCTGTTGTGTGAACATCTGTAGTACGAGCCCTACCATGAAAGAAACAAGGACAATGGGGAAAAAAAAACGGAGAATAGCGTGGTGAAGAGAATAGCAGCTGTCAAATAAAATAGAAGAATACTTTCATGGGCAATAAACAAGACAAAAAAGGAAGAAATGCAACCTCAAAATTAAACAAAGCAATTGGTACAATAAAAAGGGAAACATTCATTTCCAAACGAAAAAAGGCATGTACAATTTTTCACCTATAGCTTGGGAGACTTCCTGGGCCTCGCCTTCATTTCGCGTACAGGGGACAAGTACGTCTCACTCAACAGCTGATTGGCCATATCATGACGAAAACAGCTCGTTCGGTCCATCACGTCATCATATACGGATTGTCCTAGCCGTGTTTCAGCGAGCATCTTGGCAATCTCGACATCACTCAAACTCGATACAATTGCATATGTTTCGGGTGGAACTGTGACTCCATCTGGGTGAATATGAGAGATATATGTTCCATGATCTGTACTTCGCCCAGCCTTGGCCCGCTCCAAATTACGCAATGCCTTGAAGTACAAACTCTCGCGAAAGCGATCGGCCTCCATTAGCATCTTGTACTTTGTAGCTTCTGGCTCTGGCAGAGAGGTCCGTGCGGTTATAAGGCCACGGTACTGCGCAAAAAGGCGCACAATGTCGAAGTTCTCTATATCATATGTAGCACAATGGGACGCACAGTACCTCTCAAACCTTGGTGCGTCTTCGTCAGAAACGGGTTTAAACATTTCAACCTCTTCCTCTGTGAGGGCATCGAACTTCTCCGAGAGGTTAGAAATCGCATCCCCTGTGAAGAGTTTGTTAATCGCAAGAACACGCGAAACAGCAACAAAGAGAGCCTTTTGAGTCGGGGCCACCGCCCTAAGCATCTCCACGAACGACTCAAAATACCGCATATGTGGAAAATACCACGCCATGGGTAAAGCACGCTCATTTGCTTTTCTGTTTTTCCTTGAGGTACTAGCCGCCTCGGGCAAAAGTTTCTCACGAAGTTTTTCTCGATGATTTGATTTGAGCTGTGTTAGTGTATTCCTCGCCATGTGGGCTGTGAACACCTCGTCACCCGCGCCTGCCACATCATCGGTTCGAAAAAGAAGTCGCATGAGCAGATTAAAATCGTTGAAGGCCTTATCACTGTTGTGCGCCCGCAGCACCGCAATCTCACGTGCACGTTGGTTATACCTGTGGCGTTCGCCACGCCCAAGCTCCTTCCAGTGCCGTGATACAACTCTCATGTTCTCCCGTCCGTTACGAAAGCTTTTAGCCTTGAGAAGCCCCTCTTTTTCCTGCAGCTCCTTCGCAAATAGCGAAAAACCATTGATGTGGTGCCGCGCCTGCGTCACATGAACACCATGTGGAGGGTGGCCCTTGCCGCTGAAAAAGCAGCACCGTCTCATGTTTATCGAGACACACCTCTACTCGTCTTGAATCGGGTAAACGGCGCAGCAAAGTATAAAGGCAATAATCAAACAAAAAAAAGAATGAGATAGGTGGATAAATGGCAATCATCCCAAACAAAATGCACAAGAAGCACGCATATGTGTTTTTTTAAAGATATCAACCGCAGCAGACGCAAAGGACATCTTTCATTCAATGCGGCTTCCAACATGGAGGCCTAGCAGACGCATCAGTGCAAAATGCACGCTGTACCATACCTGACCACCGAAAGATGACCGCTCGAGGATCATGTCAGAGCTACGGTAGGACCGGCGAAGACCCAGTGATCCGGAAAGCCTCGGCAGACTAATTTTCATTTCGTACGTCGTCTCTTGCGTGCCTTTTCTTACACGATGCTCAAAAATGGCCCATCGGAAGAAACGACTATTCACGTTAAGTGATGTCACAGTACTTTCATCGATCTTTTGCCTCCAGCAGGTCTGCTCAAATGTGTGCCGCAGCAGCGTCTGCAGCAAGAGAGAGTTGGCGAGAAAAGTGCAGGATTCCCACACCCATAGAAGGTATGACAAATTAGAATCGGTATTACTCTTTTCTTTCTGTTGTTGTTTTACTTCGTAAAAACAGTTGGGGGCATGCAGAGTCCGCGCTGTTTCTCCCAAAGGGCTATCAAGAAGCGTCACCGAGTTCCAAAAGGTTAGGCTCGGGCATGGATTTGTTGTGCGCAGTCCACTATCATATCCCACAAGGCCAATGTAAAACGGAAACCGGTAGCGGGACACGAAAGAGTGGCCTTTTCGGTTTCGAAGCGCTACGGTCGATGCAAAAGCCACAAGGAAGGAAAAGTCGGCGTACTTGTAGTTTATCTCATCCAGGCAATGTTCTATGAGACGCCACTCGACACTGGTCGGGGAGTAAAACCGTCGCTCCACAACATAGAGTAAGGTAAAGAAATCCCTACGCCGCGCATTTTCCTCCTGGAAAGCGGCTGCGCTCACATTCGTAGCGCTAAGGAGCATTCACAGACTAGTACCCAAGAAGCCAGAGCACCATATGGGAGAAGGGGCTAGTAGAGCGCCATTTGTTTGCATGTGTGTATGTGGGACGCAATGCATATGCAGCCAAAGGCACATCAAAAAGACACACATACAATCATTCAAACTCTTATATACACACACTGATGGAGCGAGACACGTTGAGAAAGTAGTAATGAGAAATGCGCAGCAATAAGAGCCTATTCAACCAGCTCCACTACACCCTGTTGAATGAGTGACTCTGCCTCTTCAAACCCAAGAAGAATTTGCTTTCCCTTGTAGAGGTTAATCACAGCTCCGGTGATTGGGGAGACAAATACATGATTCACCAGACCTCGAACCTCCAACTGCTGAGTTGAGGGCGGCCGCCAAGTGAATGCTCTAAGGTCCAAAGGAACAGCAAACGCCGTCATGTATTCAACCATAATGTTATTGTATTCCTCTAGGAAGGATAATTCACACGGCGCCAATACCTCTGATAATGCATTGTCTTTTGCTTCCCACCAGGATTTTGTCATCTGTGATTGCCTCCACATTAGGTAGGCCAAGAGGCACCTTTTGTCTCTCAAGTACTTGGCTTTGTAGTACTTCATGGAGCTCGCATAGAACGGCTGCGATGGGTCAGCGTACGGATTACGCGATATGGATTGAAGATTACGGAATGAGTCAGACACACTGTCCACAACAGCACGCACCTTCCTCTCATCAAAAGGAACTATGGCGCAACCACCAACTACGAGGGCCCGCAGTTCGTTAATAAGCTCAGCAGAAGGATCAATAGAATCCTCCATTCTTTGGTCAATCTACTGAAGAAAAAAGAGAAAGAAAGGAGTGCTGAACGAAGAGTCTACTGCAACACGAAATTGACAATTGTTTTCCCCGCTGTCAATATGTCGTTGCTACGGCACTACGCCGACCGGTTTAGGCGAAGAAGCTTTTATCATTATATGAATAGAAGCTTTTCCACAAAACGAATAAATTAAAAAAACGTACCCCAGGTTTTGAAAAGTCTTTGCTCGCCCAGACCGGCTTCGTCCTTTTCCTTGTTTTTTTTTTCACACTTATTCTGTCTTTTTTTTTTCCTTTTCTTTTCCTTCTTTCGGCTCTCTGTCCTTGCTTCTTCTTGATGTGAACGTAACGAGGGGAACTATTGCTGACGGCCAAGTACGTTGCAGTTAACGCACCGATTTTGGCTTGCCTTGATGGCTAGGCGCCGGCTTGTCGCTGCCGGCACGATCATGGTGGGCAGTCTCATACTCCTCGGCAAGCGCCTCGGCCTTATCCTTCGGTGGGACATGGTCTTCGTTGTTCTTCTGGGGCATTTCTTTTTGTCTTGAAGATTGAATCGGTTTTGTTGTAAAACTTCTTTGAGGAGCAAAATGAGGAAAACAAGCGGAGAAATTGCAGGACACAGGCTCCCAACCCCAACGCTACGCAACACACAGCGTGACTGACCTCATTGACTTCTTTTTTCACACACACAAACACACACTTGCACGTCCATTTTCTCACTCAAACACACTTCTCTATTCTTCTCCAGCGGGCTTCGATGCCAGGTACTTCTGTCGTTTTGCAGTGACGTGCCTGGTTTGCGCAGGGTCAAATCCCTCTCCTTCCGACTCCGGTAGGGCCCACGATGGGGTCGGCCGCAGATAGCCATCCGCCACAATACGAGCAGAGAGAATAGGATCAAGAACCATTGCATTAAAATGTTCAAAGTCGATCCATGTATGCCAGATACCGTTAATTTTAAACCGTTTCTGCGCCAACAATATACAACCAGAGTGTTCATGCAACGTGGCTACCTCATACTCCTTGCCGTCAAAAATCACTTCGCATAGTCGTTTGGCATATGCCTTGAGCTGTTCCCATGATGGAACATTTTTTATTCGAAGTACCGTCCGCGTATTCCCTGAAAACGCCGGCGTGAGACGTTTAAGTTCAATAAAGTTGGGACGGCCAGTTTCAAAAATACCTTGGTACTCCGGTATATTCTCTTCGCTCATATTGAATCCATTGATCATTGTCAAACGAAAGACCGTTCTTTCCTTCTTTTCACTCATGTTCACAACGCTTTGGTTAAAGCGGTCCCAATAGTCAGGAAACACCGGTCGATCCAAAAATTTCATCGTTTCCTTGTTAGGAGCGTCAACACTGAGATACAACTGTGTGACAGGCCTTAACTCCTTCAACGCATCAGGAAACTGGCCATTGTTTACAAGAAATGTCGATATTCCCTTACCATGAAGAACATGAAGAAAGTCATTCACGTACGGATACAAGACAGCCTCGCCAACAAGGGAAAGTGCGCAGTGTCTTGGGTTCATAGCCTCTTCCAATCCCTTTTCCGTTACACCTGGCATGCCTCGTACGCCCGAAACAAGTGCCTTGTGGCTGGACAACATCCCCTCAACAATAATCTGTGGTTCATCCACCTGCCATCTCCACTTCGTGGCGGTAGGATTGGTATTTAGCCGCCAGCAGAACACGCATTTGTTTGCACATGCCATACTTGGGGTTGCCTCCATACAGCGATGGGATTCGATTCCATACATTGTCCATTTATAGCATCCACCCCTACCACGCATCATTGATTTTTGCCAACGGCAGAGCTTCACTGCACTATGGCTCCCGACAAGACTGTACATGGAACCTAGAGTCTCACGGCGCTTCCCCAAAAGCATCGGGCGTCCAGCCTTTTCAATGGTGCTCATGTTTACCTCCGCTAAATTTGCTCGACAAGAAAGCGTACTCTTTCCCGAGGTAATTTTCCAATGTCTGTATAATAATAATATTAAATATTATTATTATTATAGTAATAACTGCTCACGCCTCGTTGCCAGACTCACCTCCACACACCTTTCTTCTCCCTCATCCATTACAAATCAAAGAGCCAACATCGACATTGTTGCAAACCAGTCGAATGGGACAATAATGTAGCGACAGAAGAAGAATGTAACCACACCACAGAAAATGGAAATAGGCAACGCGGGAAGAGCCTTAACTTTGCCTTTTAGCAGCACCAAAGAAGTAAGAGTGCCAACAAGACCGAGCAAAACAGCCAAAGATGACATCATCCAAGGCAAAAACGAATAGATGGCCGCCCTCCCACACAAGAAACTGTAAAAGATAAAGTCTCCCAGTCCAAGTACAAAAGGAACACGGTTGAGCACATTGTACAAAAAAGACGCTGAAAACCCTTGGGAAGGATCTTGTGCAACCACTTTGTTTGATCTCTCTTCACTAACATCGGAAACTGGACGCATTTTCACAGCTTCTTCTTCACCCTCATAGTTTCGCATTGGTATCATAGCAATCTCGCTCGAACTATCATATACAAATCCAGGCAGAGGTTTATTGCGCTCCTCCGCCACCGCGACAAGCATTTGAAGTGGACCGTGTGGACACAGAACAGCAGCAACGTCATATATTGCGACAGCAACAAGTAATGACCACGCCGTCCATTCTGGAATGAGAGTCAAACAACATGCAATGACGATGGATACCAAAATCAAATTCACCTGCGCCAGAACAGGATGCGAATAGTAAAATATTGAAATAAGACCAACAGCAGCAACGTTCCATAGAAGGATGGCTGCCGTGACAATATCATACGGTATCTGAAAGCGGGTACAGACAAGATCTATCCAGATCCCCAGCATTACAAATAAAACAGAACTGGCAGAGAGCATAAGCCATCCAAAGAGAATTTTCTCACAACCCCACCTGTACAGCAGCACCATGAGAAACGTGACAGCTGTGACAACACCAATGGCAACCAGTGCATTTACTACGGAAGATTCAATTTTTCCCTTGACGCTGTCCTTGCTGCTTTCATCCATGATAAGAAAGAAGGGTGCCTCATACTGGCCTACAAACGGATTCGGCAGATTGAGCACACTCCATGAAACAACAAGCATGGTAGCAAGAACGGGAACGAGCAATGCAACGAGGCGCTTTCCAAGAATCGAAGCCACGCCATCCGTCGCCAACATTAGCTGTGGCATGAGGGAAGCTCTTCTGCTTACGTTTAAAAAGCACAAAAAAAGGGGGGAGAGGAGAGGATATAAAGGCAATGATGAAGAGGTCTAATAGGTTTCTGTGTGAAGTGCAGATTGCAGGCATCATACATTTAGTAATAGTACTAATGTAATAAATACAAGAAGAATCTATACTATCTCTTATATCGCTTTGTTTCACATTCATATTATGATTGTGTTCTCGCTCCGCGTTCTGCTGTGCCCGTCCACCCAACAGCAGAAAAAAGGGCTGTTGCTTCACAACACAAAGAAATTCGTCTTCCCTTTCATGTGCATCAGCCCCGTTGAGAGAAAAAAAAAGAAAAGAAAAGCAGACAAAAAAAGAAAACAAAAGAAATGGGAGGAAAATCATTCCTTTATAGCTCATTTCTTTTTAGCTTTCTTTCGTGTGACTTTACGAAATAGATGGAGGGATAAGACCACCAGGAGGCTTATACCGGAAAAGGGCATACACCGGGTAGGCCATCCCCAAGGCAAAGACAATTGCCGTGACAGCCGTAATGACCAAGAACGCTGAGAGACCTTCGCTCTCCTCAAACGGTACTCGCACGTTCATCGTGAACAAACCGGGAAGAATACAAATCGGCATTGTCACCAAGGACATCTGTGTCATGACGTTGTTCAAAAAATCCATCCAATAGCAATGCTGCAAAAGTCGCATCGAAACACCACTAACAAGGCTCATACTTGAGAGATTCAGTACGTCACGACCCTTTCGTAGACGTTCAATAGAGAGCAGCAATCCAGACAGCAACCTTTGATAACGACTGGAAATGTTGGGCTCAGATGTAATGAAGATACGTCTCATCACGGGAAGAAGGAGTTGCTGCACAAGGCGTTCTTTCGCCAAGAATGATGCCTGAACTCGCGACAGCCTGTGGCGCAGGTCTTCAATGCGTCGCAGTAGATCCGCCTGATCACAGCGGGAGGGCTGGATCTGAAGCACCATCTCATTCACGTTGTCAACATCGACAAGCAAAGAAGAGGGCTCCTTCTGGTGCTCCTTAACAAAGCCACTGACTAGAGAGCACACAATAGCGGATACAGGCTCTGCGTGCGAATTTGGAGACGACAGCATTGACTCCACGTGGGCCCTCATCTCGTCATCCCCTGCAATAGGCCTTCGACGAATAGTAAGCAAAAAATGTTCAAACGTGATCATGGAAACCATCACAGGATCATCCTGCACACTTCCAAGAGAATCCTTGCTGCACGCCTTCGCAGCCACATTAATGCTGACATAGCCACAAGAAGGAAATATCTCCGTGAGCTCAGTGTCATTTCTTCTATTCTTAACATCCTCCTTTGTGGAGGGATGTATGGGGAATAGAGACAGCACCTTTTCAATCACAGCGTCGTCGTCACTTTCGACTTCAAGCCACGCGAAGTCGGTGGGCCGTGCCAACTTGTTGGTAATATCGATGTCGCTCTGTACCGCGTCATAAAGCTCTGCCACAGAGGGGACAAGCAGCGGTTTGTGGGACTTGGGCACGAAGGGAAACGTTCGAACCAAATCTATGGCCTTTTCAAGTTCACTTACATCGTACGTGTGAACTGCCTCCAACACACCACCTCGGCGAAGCAGCAGTCTAGCCTTACCGAGACATGTTGGACCTCCACCCCCCCTCATTTCATGTAGTTTTCTTCCGTAGAAGGTGCAAACCACTAAACTTCAATGATGGACACACACACACACACACAAAACGAAAGAAAAGGAAGAAAAAAGTAGATCACGAACGAAAACAGTTCAACAACTCTCTGCCAATGGATATGGAAGCTAAAAGGCACAACACACGCAAAAAAAAACGGACAAATGCCAGAGATAAAAGTCATAATTATACACTTGCTCTATCATCTACAACTACCCCTCATGCAGATACAGTTTCGGGTAAGAGCCACAGGGGGTTTATCCACTGACAGGTGGGGTGGCCCCTGAAGCTGGGACCCACGATACCAAGCATCGCCCCCCCAGTATTCACGGCTTTCCTTTGTGAATTTGGGATGATTTAAGATATCTGCTCTATAAATTGCTGCTCTTTCTTCACGAGACAGCGTCGCAAGATAGGCGTTGCTGAACCCCCTCACAGCGCCTTTCTTGTTTAGAAAATGGGTTTCTGTAGAGTTTCTACACGAACGCCCCGCCGTCGCAGGGCTTCCATTCTCAACTTTCAAATCCCAGCACAGTGCCGAGACGATCTCCGGCCTCCCCGTCACTCTGTCTATTCGCTGATGGCAATAGTTGTAATCATCACGATTCGCCTGCACCTCAAACTTGGTGTTGTCTACGTCACGCAGATGCTTGCTTGGTCTTGCATCTTCAGCAAGTGAGGGACCTCCATGACGAAAGGGCAAAAAGTCAACATCTGCAACAAGCTCCTTTGCTGCGCGCTTTTTGGCTAATTCTACCGATTTCTGCTTTTTGAGTGTATCAAATGGAGGAGGATTGCCTTTGTATCCAACTTTGCTTCGCTGTATCAGCCATTGCAGACGACCCAGCGTCTTGTTTTGATCTTCCTTCTCCGTTTTCGTCTCGGCTGACATGAAATGTGCTCCCTCTCCTGATGCAACAAGACAAGACAATAGAAAACAGAAACAAGTGAGTCTCCTCCCACAGTTCTTCACCCTTGTTTGTGTTTTTATCCCCCCCCCC